CGGCGTCGATATCGTCAGTGCCAGCCTCGGCCACACTAGTAATTATCTTCTCCGTAGCAGGGTTGAATGTATCGAAAGTTTTTCCTGAAATGGACGGAACAAACTTGCCATCGATAAGAAGGTTGGTTTGCTTGATTAAGGTGAAGGGGGATGTCTGGGTTTGCATGATAGAAGACGAATGTCGATGGGTTTTAATGAAGTGGCAAAAAGCACAATGACGATGGTTGTGAGCGATCGATATCTTCATACTACACAAGAAAAAAGAAGGTCATGTTTGTTACATTGAGGGCTCAGAAATCGAATTAACAAACAAAAACAATGCGCTTGATCAGTTTATGTATCACCAAGAAAGTTGAATATTCAGATTGTAGCTCTTTGTACACGGAATAGGGCGCGAGAGATTGAAGCTCCATTATTGAAGATGGAAATATCCATAGCACCGGCATTCTAGACCACCCAACCCTTTACTACGAGAGGATTTGTATTCCATTTCGATCAGATCAACGTGTAATTTGGATGTCAATTACCTTTTATACCGAAAAGATGTGTTTACAAATGTGAGCTGGGTTACAACAAGTCATTGTAATCACGGGGGTTTGAATATTATAGTCGTTATCGTCGTACTGCAACATCGGAATCCGCTTGTTTGGATGATGAACTGGGAGATGTAACTGAGCCAAACGCATCGTGTACGGCCGATCCTGGCTTCGCGTGAGTAGAAACAGGAGTGTTAATTCTAATAGAGTTAAGAGGACGTTCAAGGATTTTGTGTTTGAAAAATTGGTAAAACTATCCTGAATGGTCAATCACTTTGGCAGATTATTATGAAGACTCAAGAGTGGCCGTCCTGTAGCTGACCCACAATCACACACGGCTGACCATGGAGAATTCTGAAATCCAGGCCTACGATACGTATGATGCCTAAACATTACACATTTAGCAATTACTTTTATGTTCACGGCGTCTAGCCAACGCAAAATGCTCGGGTCGACTTCGGCAACTCCCTCTTCTCAAAGGCTATCAGCTCCGGTACTACACTGATGTAAGCTAGCCTCTGTTCTTAGTGCTCTACTAATGTACGCTAGCAAGAATGCGAACGAATATTGCTGAGACGCAGTTTACGACACATCATTCAGAAGATGATTCTGCTTGAAGTGCATCCGAAAAAATTATCCCCGGATAGCTTATACAGGAGCTACGACTTGATATTTTTGGTTGATGACGTCAGGGTGGTTGGCTTGAAAATTTCTTGCGACAGCATATGTTTTCACAGTGCATCATCGACTTGTTGCCACGTTCCTTTTTGTAGAATGGTCACCATGTAGTCTGGAGTACATTAGTAGCTAGAGGTAGAAGTAAGGAGGAATCCTCTATGAGTAGGAATACATCCAAACATTCACATATATTTATGGACAAACGTGATGAAGTTAGAGAAAAAGCTAAAAAACGAATTAAAGTTCTGATGCTGAGCGGGGCACGTAGAAAGAATGTATCATTACCTACAGAGGATTTATCAACTGATCCCCTTATTTAATATTTCTAGCTGCTAAAGCTCTCCAGACCATACAGCTGTCATTCTACAACGAAAAACATGACAACGAGTCGATGATGTACTGCAAAGGGATAGAAAACATATGCTGTTCAGACCAACTACCCTGACGCCATGAACCGAAAACATCTATTTGTATTAGCTAATCGGGGTTAACAATTTCGAATGCACTTTAAAAGGATCATTTTATGGATGACGAGTCTCAGCAAAACCCGTTTATATCTACGCTAACGCACATTTATAGAGCACCAAGAACAGAGCATGGGTTATATTAGTAGCGCACTAGAGCTGATGGGTTCTTGCGCGTATGACCTTTAAAAAAAGGAGTTACTGGAGATTTTCGCGCTGGCTATGTGTCGTGAAAATCAAAATAATTGCTCACATGTAAGAATGTATAATGTTTAGGCAATCCTCACACCTGGATCTCATAATACTACAAGCTCAGCCGTGTGCGGTTGTGGGTCAGCTACAGTACGGCCACTCTTGCGTCTTGCCAAATCTTGGACGTAATCGACCAGATATGTGGATTTTGGTAAATTCTGTCTCACTTGACCAATTTTTGTAAACACAAAGACTTAAGCGTCCACTTGATCGTGAACATTTCAATTTCTACTCGTATTCGGCACAAGCTGTATTGCATATGCGTCTGGCGCCGTTATATTCTCCAGTCCATCATCCAAAACAGCGGAGAATTTCTTCGATTTTGCAATATTTAAAACTATAATAGTCGTTATCATCTTACTTTCAAAAAGTCCGTGTTTGTTGTTACTCAGCTCTATAACATTTAATGGAACACCGCTTCGAGATAAAAAGGTGATTGGCTTCATAAGTACACACTCATTCGATCGAAATCGAATACACATCCTCTACTGTATTCATTACGGTAGAATATTGGACAGTAGGATAAGATAGAAGGTTTACTTGCTTTCCGCGGGAAATTGACATCTTGTGAACAGTGACAGCTTCACCCCAACATGATGATTATGTGGTACCCCCAAGAAGCCTCGGACCTGTCTCAAACTGACCCTCATTCAAAGGATTTGGATATGACCTTGCTCGTCCAAAAGTGTGGTCGACAAATCCACCACGCATGTCGCTTTCGAACATAATTCAAAGTCTCCATGCGTTTTGTCATTTGTTCCTTTTGACAGCATCAGCCTTTTCTTTTTAGAATCTGAAACTCTTTTTTCGCACTATTGTTTTTTTAAGTTATTTATTTCATTATGCTTATTTTTAAGCTTAAAATGTTTGATGGTTTTTTTGCAAAAGTACTGTACTGAAAAAAAGAATATACCTATGTCAACGTGCGTTGATTATTCAAGTTGTTGATGAGACGGAGGGTGTCTAAATCTACGTCACAGCTCGCAAGCATCTCTTCGATTCGCACCGGTATGAAAGCCCTAACCTGTAATAAAACTTAAAAAAAAAATGTGCGACATAACTTTCGTAACCGCAAACAGAAGTTTATATCACGTTAAAGTTTAAACACGTTAAGGAACTACTTCTTTAAAATTTGGAAGGTTGAACACGTTCTTTATTTCAAACTAGCCACAATCTGAATGATCAACCTTCCAGGTAGAAAATAAACTGATCATGCGCATTGTTTTTGTTTGTTAATTCGATTTCTGAGCCCTCAATCTTGTCGAACGAAATCTACAACTTCTCCTTCTTGTAGTATGAAGATATCAATCGCTCCTAACCATTGTCATTGTGCTTTTTGCCACTTCACTGAAACCCATCGACATTCGTCATCTATCATGCAAACCCAGACATCCCCCTTCACCTTGATCAAGCAAACCAACCTTCTTATCGACGGCAAGTTTGTTCCGTCCATTTCAGGAAAAACTTTTAATACATTCAACCCCGCTACGGAGAAGATAATTACTAGTGTGGCCGAGGCTGGCACTGACGATATCGACGCCGCTGTAGCTGCTGCTCGCACCGCCTTTGAGGGTCCGTGGCGTACTACTAGCGCGTCGAATCGTAGCCGCCTTATTAACAAACTCGCAGACCTCATTGAAGAAAACATTGATGAGCTCACCACTCTTGAATCACTTGATTGTGGTAAACCGTACGCGGAGGCTAAGACTGCCGACATACCTCTCGTTTTAAGTACATTGCGTTACTTTGCCGGTTGGCCAGACAAGATCCATGGTACTGTGATCCCTATTGATGGTCCTTTCCTTTGCTACACTAAGGCAGAACCAGTTGG